TACCATTGACTTTAACATTTTCAATATAATCAGGTGAACTAAATGAACTACTTGGAGAATTAACTTGAATTCTTCCAACATCAGATAATACGTTATAAACAACATCATGTTGTGACATAACCATTGGGTCATAGTCATAAAGTTGTGTTTTGTTATCTCCAATACTAAACCATTTATAATATGTTAATACTCCACCAGTAGAAATAGAGTAAAGTTCTACCATTGATGTGTTTTTAACTGCAAGATAATCATAACCAACACTTACATATTTACCACATGCTTTATCATATTCTTTAACTAATTGTAATGTTTCATTATAAACAGTTAAATGTCCATTTTTACATACAACTGCATAAACTTCTCTTTTACCTGCAATAAATTCTCTATCAATAACAGCTAATGGTGAATATTCATCAATACCACTAACAGAAACAGTATTGTCTAATACTGGTGTGGCTTTAGTAATATCAAATATCTCTAAATTTTTATTATTTAAGAAAAATAATTTCTTTGATGATGCGGCAATAGTTGGTCGTGAAACTGCTGATGATGACACACTAATAGAAGTTGTTGAAATTGATGGATGAAGACAATCAATTTTTAGTGCATTTCCACTTGAGCTACTTGCTGTATAATGAAGAACATATGTATATTTATATTCTGACTCTTCATCATGAGTCATTGAATAAACAACCTCTGACTGTGGGTCTTTTTTCCAATCAACCTGCTCTAAATTCACAGCTGATGCAGCAATAATGTATAAGAGAAACAAAATAAACATTTGATTTTTGAGTTTAGAGGAGTTACAAAATTTTTGTCTAACTGAAACTTACAAATTATAACTAAGATTTTAGGGAATATAATTTTGTTAGTACAATTTTTTGTTTTTCATTAAATAAAAAATGTTAAAAGATCTTTTAATTGGAACTTAAAATTGAAGAGAAATGGCGGAAACTAAACAGAATCGACATTTTAATTCAATTAAAATAGGGGAATTATTGTCTATTTCAACAAGACCAGAATTAGGTCCAACCGATATATTATATGAATATCAACAATACCTTGAGGGATATTTTACTAAAACATTGTCAGTGAGAAAAGAAAAACCTAAATATATTGTTTGTGATGAAAAGTCAAAATTGTTATTAGAGTTAACTGTTGGTACTGAGTTACAAAACCCAAAATATTCGATAGAAGATATATTATTACCATCAGAAGTAAATAATTATAGAAGAGATGTTACAAATTTTATTTTTTTAGCAAGTGACATTGAAGGATATAAACAAATAGCAGAAGCAATGAAAAAGATTCGGTCTAATAATCAGAGTGAACTTAATGATGATAGTTTAATTGAGAATTTTACAGTATTACGTCCATTTGGTACAGAAATGTGGGATATAGAAATGATTAATTTTTGTGAAATGACACGATGTAAAATAGAAAGATTGCCTATTATTCTTCCTCTTGTTCAAGAAGATGTTTTGTCAATGCAAATTGATGATGCATTTGTTAGAATTTATTCTAATTTTGATTTAGGAATTTTACAATTATGTGCTGAAGGAATAAACGATCTTCAAAAGGTTATTGGTAGATTTCCACGCATTCATTCATTAGGAAAATTATCACGAAAACTTAATATAATGATATCAAATCCTATAGGTGAAACTGGAATCTCAACAAGATTTAGTGATTGTTTTATTTTTGATAGAACAGATGATTTGATAACTCCTCATATGCAAGGATATAATTATTATTCAATGCTTGATAGAGTGGAAGACATTAATGGAGATATGACAACAGTAACTGTTGATTCTTCTCTTCTAATCAAAGCAACAAAATATAATAGATTAGAAGAAGTTTTAAAAGGAAAGATGGAAACTATATTTCCTTTACATGGAAATAATTTTAGTAGATTAAGAGATTTACAATTTAATACATTTCCTGATGAAATTAAACAAATGACAAGTGAATTTTCTGAAGAGACATTAAGTACAACTGATGCAAGAGAATCAAAAACAAGAACAAAAATGTTACTTGAGATGTTACCAAAACAATTTGCAGCATTTATGTTTTTTGATTGTCATAATAAATTTTATCAAGAAATATTAGCACTTGCAAGATCAATTGATTTTAGAAGAGAAAGAGATGAACAATTAGAATATATATTAAAATCATTTGATTCATCAACATTTTCTTATTTTAGTGATTATGACCCATTTAGTAAAATAGAAGATATGATTTATGATAGTCCTACAATGGAAACATTTCTACAAACATCTCGTGTATTTTGTAAATATGCATTTCCTGATAATCTTGCAAGAGTATTAAGTCGTATTTGTTTTTTATGTGGATTGTTTGGTGGAATTAAATCAAATCAATTGGATAATATCAAAAAGTTATTAATGCAATTCTATGGTGTTTGGGTTGCTTCTGTATTTGCTAAAATGGAAGCATGTGGATTAATTTATAGAAATGATGGTCAAGTTAAAAGAAGGTCATTTGCTGATATACACCGATGTGTTAATTCAATAAGTAAAGAAAGTGATTTTATTGGAGAGAAAGAGTCATTAAAAGCACTTGATGGTATTTATGACCATTACCAACCATTAATTGTTAATTATATTAATGATTATTTTATGAGAATAACTGGAGAATATACTACCCCAGTTAAAGAAACAAACAGAGGATTTTTTGATGAAGATGAAGAAGCACCACCTTCAAAAGAAAGTGTTGATACCTCAACTTGTCGTTTTGATAGTTTATTTGCTCCAGATGAAAAGACACTTACAAAAAATGTTGGAGAAGTTAATCCAAGATCAGATCATATTTTTGTTTTTGTTATTGGAGGAATTTCATTAGGAGAAATCTCTATGTTAAAATTAATTGGTGAACGTTATAACAAGAAGGTTATCATTGCAAGTACGAATGTGTTTAGAAGAACACAATCAATTCCTCATCAATTCATTGAATCATGTAAAGAAGAATATGAGTTAATATCAACTAAAGCAAATTAATATAATTCAGTTGTTATTCAAAAGTATTCAATGAGTTTATTTTGATCTATATTTCATTGTTTTAATTGAACTAATTTTAATTACTACACAAATGTTCATATCTTATTCTTTCAGAGAACTCAAAAATAGAGATGAGTTTAAGTGAAAGTGAAAGTGATGAGGTTATTGTTGGACAATTACCCCAAGACAGAAAGTCATTATTAGATGGAGAAGAGGATGAGGATGGTCCAATTGACACAACTACTAATATTGACAAGTTAAAAAATGAACGATTTGAAAATGTTCCTCAAGATGAAAGTGCAGTTATTGAACCATGTAAATATTCATATGAAGGGGAGGTTATTGAGAATGAAGAATGGGATTGGAAGAATGAAAAGTTTAGTTCAGATGATGAGACAAACGCTGAAAATAAAGATTATTTCAATTTTGAAGAAAGTACATTTGGATATGAGTCGTTGAATCATCAGTCTGATGGTGCAAATGAACGAAATGATACTAACCAAGTTAATGAAGAACAACATATTAATGAAAAAGAAGAAGATAAGAGAAATGAAATGATTAACAAAGCAATTGATGAATATCTCAATGATGACAGTTATGAAGAGTGTATGAAAGCAGATGGACATTAAGATATAAACATATTATCTACTCAAAAAACAACAACGAATTTGAGTTTCGTAAATTTATGTTGCATTGATAAGTTTCTTGATGGTTTTACTTTCTTTATCATTCAAAATGTTAAAAGAATCACATTTATTTCATAATCAAATAAATAGAAAATTTAAAGTATTTCACAGTTTTAATAAACTAAATTTTATTTCAAATTAGAGAATTCATAATTAGGTATATCTTCATTCTTGCTGAACAACAGTATTAAGCTTTTCTAACTATTATGTGAGTTAATTTAATTGTATTTCTTTCGTTGAATGTTTTTACATTCTATCTCAAATTTTTATGTTTTCTATAACATAATATTATTTCAACAAAATATCATTAATTTGAATTTTGAATGAAATTATATTTTTAGAAAATACAAAAATAGAAATTCAACAAAAATTCAATAAATAATGTTTCAATATTATTCTCATCGTTTAAGAATATCCAATGATGTGTTGAACTATAGAATTTAGACTGAATTATACTTAAATACGAAATTGATATAATTCAGTTGAAGTATAGGTTTTTCGTAATGAAGGAATTATTTTCGAATGAGATATGGTTGAAGGGAGAAATGTCGTTCGAAGGATTTGGGGAAGAAGTGGGTATTTAAAGACGAAGCAAAACTTAGTAATCACTAAAGAAAAACAAATGCAATATCTTGTTCAATGTCACATTCATATGCACGAAGATCGTGAATTATTTGCTAAAATCCTTGAACTTCAAAACAACAGTAGAAAAGAGAAAGGATGTAAATCTTATTTTGTTTGTCAAGAACCTACAAACACAACACATTATTTGGTTATTCAAAGATGGGAAAACAAAAACCAATTTGAAACTCATCTAACTTCTTCTCATTACAAGAAGTTCATTGAGTATGTCAAAACAGTCACTAATATCCCAATTACTTATGAGTATTTTGACACTAATTAACTTGTTTTTATTAATTCATTTTAATTTCTATTAAGTGTGTTTAAATAACATAACTTTTTATTTTAATTTAAGTTATTTCAAAGGAATAATGTTCAATGAAATATTCTGTAATATATTTTATTAATTGAATGAAACTCATATAATGGTTTATTAGAGTGTCGACAATTTAGAACTATCTAATAATATGAATGATGAATAACTAAGATGACACAATTTCATTCTTGACATATTTTATCTTCTTTTGAGTTTCTTATCAAAACAATATTATTTGAATTATAAAGTAAATTGAATTAAATATGTATTAGTCTTATATTCTACTCTGACATTATTATAAAGTAATTATTTGTTGTGTTATTTCAATTTTAATTTCTTTTATTACTATAATAATGAAGTGTTGTCATATTAAATTAGTAGTCATATATAAATACACAAACAGACTAATTCTCATATAAATTAACACTTCAATTTTTATCTCGTTTCATTATTTTCAATTCTCATATGATTTAAAAATTAAATAATATTTCTTAAAAAGTTTCAAAGTAGTTAGTTATTCAAGGCTATTTGACTATAATCTAGTAAAAATAGAAAAATTATTCAATACAACGAAAATAAGAGTATTTAATTATACATTGATAGAATTATCTTCTAATGTTCATTTTTTTCTCGTGGATGTTATTCATATCATTGTTATTGGTTGTTTTTAATGAGTATATTTGTTATAGAAATGTTCTATTAGACTATTTCATTTTTACTTCTAATTCTTTCTTTTTTATTTGTATTTTAAAATTAAGTTATTTAGAATCATTAATTAATGAAACAAAATAAAATAACATGTAAATAGTATCAACTAAAATAAAAATGAATAAACAACAATGAATTGAAGTTGTACTATAATTCAGAGAATAACAAAAGCATTGATATCCTTTCATGTTAATTCATTTATTTAACGCCATTATCTAATAATGGCAATAGTATTATTTTATTCATTCTTTTATTTGAATAAATATTATTCAATGTAAAATGAAAAGAGAAAATAAATAGCGTCATAATTATATAATATAAAGAAACAAATTACATAATAATGATTCAAGAATAATATATAATTAAATGAAAGAGGTAAATGACTATGAATAAAAATGAAAGAAATAATAATCCTAACAATGAAAATGTTATAGTACATTTGGAAATTAATAATAAATAAAGAAAAATATAAATTGGAATAAAAATAAACTGAAACAACAAAAAATTAATAAAGAATTGAAAAATAACCACTTAAATGAATAAAAGAAGAAGTTGGATTATTAAAGAATAATAAATTAATGAAGATAATAATCATTTTTTAAATAATAAAATTAATTAAAATTCAATTGGTAATTAATGTAAATGAAATATTAAACATTATAATGAAATAAATAAAATAAAAAAACACATTTAATGAATAATAAACTCAATACAAATAACAAATAGAACAAATAAACAATATCAATTAATTATCTCTTATTCAATAAATACAAATGAACATAATATTTTATATAAATACTTAATTATATATGAAAAATTTATTACATACAAATTTTAATAAATGTAGATATAAAAGAGAAGAATAAAAATATTCAAAGAAGATGAATAAAATAAGATTAGATTAAATTATATTCATTTATATTGTTATTATATTATTATTTCTATCTTTTTTAGCAGAAATACTTTCTATTTTCTTTAGTATTATTCTTTTGTATTATTCTTCATTGTATTATTATTTATTTTTGTTGTGTTAGTTTTGTTTAGTTTTCTTTTGTTGTTTTGATTATTATTGTTGAAATAGAAAGGAAGAATAAAATGATTATAGTTTTAT